AGGTTCACTGATTGAAATCTGAACATTTTCTGTTGAGCCTGTAACGTCAGACTGTGTATCCACTGTGTAATGATTAATGGAGGTGACACTTCTGATGTAGTCTTCACCCTGACCACTGTGTATGAGATCAATACTTAATACTTATCAACAATTCTGCTATTTGGTGCTGGGCATCTTCACCTTCAGAAGGAGACAATCTGTCTGTCTGTGACACTTTTCAGCTCAGCTAGTGTGAATGAAGAGTCTTGTGGTGATGATCAACTGTTGAGAAGCAGCTGCTGGCAGCTTTACCTTTTCCCTGATTGCTTTTCTGAAAGAACCATTCTCTCTAGCTTGTTTATAGTGTTCTGTTATTGCTTTTCATATCGATGTCCTGTCAAGCTTAGCGATGTACATTGTAGAAAAAAGCTAGTTAGGGCTGAAGCAGTAGAGGTCACTCTTTAGATGTCCAACATAACCTGACAGTCATTTTTTATTCATTTCCCTGAGTCATGTCCTGTGTATAGATATTCAACTTATATTTATTTAGCAAGCTACACTGTATGGTCATTAGCCAGTAGGTCAAACTGACTCATCACTCTGACTTCCTGAATTTGAGATTTCTGTAACTGCAGCATAGGTTTGGAAGTGAATATGTTAGGGCTGTATGTCTTAAAGAACATACTGAAACAGCATGTAATGAGTATGTTGTCGTGGTCAGAACAAAAACTTGTATTTTTAAATAACTGTACTGGAGAAGGATAAAACATTCTTAACCTTAACCAAAAAATTTACAGATAATGATTCTGTTGGTTTGTTTATTATGAAATGCATAGCACTGCATGGCACTTTCAAATAATGTCAGTAAAATGTAAGAAAAAAAATATCAAAGTGCATGAACAAGGTTTTGATCTGACCACAACAGTGTTTTCTTTCACATGAGAGTATATACAGAAGTAGAGTCTTTAAAATTTTAGTTGAGTAGGTGAGTAGAGTTTAAGTTGTGTCTTTAGACAGAAGTAGATCATTTTAATACTACCTGTTAAGCACAAACCCAGAGTACATTAAAGGGGAATTCCATTGACTTTTCACAGCTAGATTTAAACTAAGTTATTCAGTGTGTTGTGTTGTGAAATAGATCATTTCTAGAGAAACTTATCAAGTTAGAAATGTTCATAATGGTGGTGATAGGAACCAAATGTCTGCAGTATATAATGCCTCTAAAAGCTACGTCATAGAAAGCTATAACATATACGAATACAACGAATACCTAGCATGGTGCCTGAGATATTGATTTACGATAGTTTTAAGAGGACATTATAGCCTAAAATGGATTTTTTAATACAGTAAGGTTGGAGAGGTACATGAAGGGCATTAACAGGGTGTTCAGCAGTATCAGCATTACATACACAAACCTAAGTCACCTATAGGCTCACTGGTGGTTTTGGATAGTAAATAAAAATATATATTTGTTTTGTATAAATCATGACCCCTGTTTCCTATCACCACCACTGTAAAGAAATCAGTACGTTTCTCTTCAGTAACCGGTTTCACACCAGTTTACTCTGAATGACCTTGTTTATGTGGTTGAATTATGCAGCGATTTTGACAGATGGGTGGAATTCCCCTTTAAACAGTACTTGTTTTGTAGCAGTTAAAAGGTCATGTATGTCTGTGTATGTGTGTGAGTCTGTCACAGGGGTGTGTTGTGCCAGCCTGGTGCAGCCCAAGTCTTTAATGAAGATAGGGCTGTGTATGGTGCTGGTGGGCCACGTGAACTTCCTGCTGGGAGCGCTGGTACATGGCACAGTGTTGAGGCACGTCAGCATCGGTGCCCAGACGCCGGAGTACGCCATCTCCAACATCTTAGCTCTAGCAGCCGGCCTTGCGGTGAGACATGCTAGACTCTTGAGGCACTTCCATCAGTTACCATCTTTAACCAATACTGTTAACATTGTCACACAGAAAGGCATGTTGTTGTGAATTATAATGCATTAATCAAACATCCATACAATAAATCTAAAAGAAATATCCAAATTATGTTAGTATTAGGTATTAGTATTAGGTATAGTCACTGTACCACTTGTACAGTAGGCTGTTAGTTACAGAGACTGTACTACTCACTACTTTTTCATTCTCTTTCTAATCTCTGCAGGGCGTAATTGTTGGCATACTGGCTATAGTCCTTTCTAAAAATGAGAAAAGTCGGCCACTGGTAAGTGACTGAACAGTCTTTATTTATTCTGCAATTTGGTTTATTATGTGAATTGATTGTTAAAGTGGAATTTCACAGATTTGTAAAAAGTTCAGCATGATTGAAATATTTAGCTGTAAATACTCTGAAGTCTTTCAGAGGGATTTGATGTGAAATTGTTGATGCGAACTCAAATTTCTTTACAATAGTGGTGATAAGAACAATGTCTACAATGGTCATTTTAGGTACTATCCAAAACCACCACTGAGCTTTCATATGTCTTGAGGTTTTATATGTCATGTTAATTATGGTAAAATAGTGGAAAATTAAAAAAAAAATCTTTGGCTTTACCATATCCTCCATGTACCTCTTCGCTATTAATGTATTGAAAAAATTATGTTGAAAAATGACTGAAAAAAAAATTTGTAACCATTTAATGTAATAACTTTCTGCAGTGCAGCTTTTTAGGCGTTAAACTCATTGAATGTCTGGTTTCCATGACTACCACTGTAAACAATTCTCTTTTCTAGAAAAGAGCGCTAGATATCAGACTACTCTGAATGACTTTGTTTACATCTTAGCAGTTTATTTATGCAGAAATTTAGAAAAATCTGTGGAAGTCCCCTTTAAATTGTGTCATGATTAACCATTAATTAAAGCACAAGCAAATATCTCTTACTCAAGATCTGGTCTACTGTACAGTGGAGCTCATTCTTACTAATGCACAGTCATCATGAACAAATGTCTGTATGTCTGTCTCTGTCATACTTATGCTGAGTTTTTGTCCTGCTGTGTAGTGAATAGTCTAGTGAATCCAGTTTGTTTTCAGGCTTTTCTGCTAGCTCAGTATGACACCCACCCAGTCACATACCTCTTTCTGCCTCAGGTGCTTCAGAAATAACAACCTGAAATCTAGACCTAGAGTGACACTCCTTTTTTAACACCATTCTCTGCACTGATATTGGCTTTAGGGCTTTTGTCTTTGACTGGCTGAAGCCTCTGTGGCCTTTTCACACTGCTGTGATGTCCAGTACAGACATAGCAGCCTAATTTACACATGAAGGAATGACTGTCGTTTAAAGCTTTACACTTACCCAGTTTTTAGTCCTCCTGTATATCATGTTACCTCATGTGATGCTGGGTCACTGACATACACTAAGCTAGTCACTATACCCACACTCATCTGCCATGCTACCTGGTATACAGTTACTGTCTGTAGCCCATTTGTTTCTATTAAATGGGAATTCCACAGATTTTTTAAACATTCTGTATAATTCAATGGTTAAGATGTAAACAAGGTCATTCAGAGTGGTTTGTGAAACTTAAAGTCCCAATCGTTTACAGTGATGGTAATGGGAACCAGACGACCCAGCGTGTTTAATGCCTCTAAAAGCTCCCTTACAAAAGTTTACATTTTTTTTTTTTTTCTAAATTAGATTTTAATCCATTCACATGCAAGGCATACATGCAGGGTGTAGTTTGGCAAAATACAACTTATTTTATCAGATTTACCAGAAGTTACCATTATGAATATTGTATATAGGTTCACTGGTCCTTTGGGAGAGTAGCTAAAATGCCTAAATTTGCACTGTAGACATTGTTACCCCTGGTTCCTATCACCACCATTTTAAAGAAAGTTTGTAAGTTTCTCTACAATACTGCATTTCACATCAGACCTCTCTGAATGACTCAACGCTTGAATTGTACAGGACTTTTGAAAAATCAATGGAATTCCCTTTTAACAATATGATTATTCACACTAAACCATCTATCAATGGAAAAAGGGTAGAGTGTGGCTAATATACTGACCTGACATTATGTGGGGGGAGGGGGGCTTTTTGGAATTACTCATACCAGAGCCACACCCACATTTGTATGACTGCTGTACTGAGAAATGTCCACCACCCAAATAATATTGGGTTAGCAGTGGTCCTATGGTGGTCCCTTTCCACTGATGGGGTAGAGGGTGGCTGACCAATTGTACAGCAATAGATGGACTAGAGTCAGTAAACCTAATATTGTAGGTATACCTGATAAAATGACCAACAAATGTAAGTACAAGGTAAGTGTACCTGATAAACGGACTAATGTATGTCTGTGTTTTTGTTTTGTTATAGGCGTAGTGTGGCTTGCCAACACGCCATATGCATGTCCTGATTCTGTTGGTGTTGTCTCCCTCTTGTGGTATAAAGTATGTGTGCAGGTCACCGCTGCAAAGCTGCTAGTCAGTAAACTGCCTCTTGTTTGTTCAGACGTGGTGTCTGTGCGTGCTGAGTGCTGTAGGTGTTCTGTTGGCTGCTGCCTCAGCCGTTGGCCTGCTGGTGTCCCTGGTTTGGGCCATCGTTCACGGCAGTAAGGGTCTCCTTCTCCACTGCAACTTACCTGATGACATGAGTTACTTCAGCATCACCGATGAGTGTCCCTTTGACCCCACCCGCATTTATGTGAGTGACCAAGGGGAGGTGACTGTGCTTGTTGTGGGATCATTGTGAGAATGTGCACTGCTGATCTGTGTAATTCATTTCTGAAACCTGACCCCCAGTAAAGCAATCGTGCCAAAAACACTTTGTTTATATACACTGATCAGGCATAACATTATGACCATCTCCTTGTTTTTACGCTCACTGTCCATTTTTTTCAGCTCCACTTACTATATAGGTGCTCTCTGTAGTTCTACAATTACAGACTGTAGTCCATCTGTTTCTCTGCATACTTTGTTAGCCCCCTTTTACCCTGTTCTTCAGTGGTCAGGACCCCCATGGACTCTCAGAGAGCAGGTACTATTTGGGTGGTGGATCATTCTCAGCAGTGCAGTAACACTGATGTGGTGGTGGTGGTGTGTTAGTGTGTGTTGCGCTGGTCTGAGTGGATCAGACACAGCAGTGCTGCTGGAGTTTTAAACACCTCAGTGTCACTGAGGTGTAGTCCACCAACCAAAAATATCAAGCCAGCAGCGTCCTGTGACTAACAATGAAGGACTAGAGGATGGTTAGCTCGTACTGTACAACAAGAGATGACCTATCGTCTCTGGCTTTACATCTACAGGGTGGACCAACAACGCAGGTGCGTCTAGTGGACAGTGAGTGGACACAGTGTTTAAAAACTCCAGCAACACTGTTGTGTCTGATCCACTCGTACCAGCACAACACACACACCACCACCTCGTCAGTGTTACTGCACTGCTACCACCCATCACCCAAATAGTACCTGCTATGTGAGGGTCCATGGGGGTCCTGACCACTGAAGAACAGGGTAAAAGGGGGCTAACAAAGTATGCAGAGAAACAGATGGACTACAGTCTGTAATTGTAGAACTACAAAATGCACCTATACAGTAAGTGGAGCTGATAAAATGGACAATGAGCATAGAAACAAGGAGGTGGTCATAATGTTATGCCTGATCGGTGTGTGAATATATATATATATATATATATACATTTTCTACATCACTATTTAAATTTATGTAAATGACACTGACCATGCTCAGGACTTTGTACAAAAAGGTCAGATTTTGTTGGGTCTGTGGATTTGATCTACTCATCAGAGGCATTTGTCACTGTTAGTGATCTGAGTCATGCCAGTTTGAGCGCATGCTGTCATAAAAGCAAAAGATGGACAAACACCTAATAAAAACTTAGTATTAAATCAAAGAAGAATACAGACTAGAAGCTTTTTCAGTAATGGCCTCAGACTTTTGAACCCCACTACATGCGTGTGCGTATGTAGTTGATCTACTCAGTCCTTCATTAAAATAAATCAAGTGCTGCTGATGGTTTCTAACAGAGTGTTGGCTGGAGTGTAGTGAGAAACATGTATTCTTCTAACCGTGTTCTTTTTTAAAATAATACATTTTTGGTTTTCTTTTTGTTTTTTTCTTTTATTTATGTCTTTATTCATATTTCTTATAATGTTATATTAAAAAAAACACAAGATAAACTGGTTTAAACAGTTTTCATGGCTCCATAAGACTTTTGTACTGCACTTTTTTCTTCTCCTAAAGTTACTCAAATGTCTCAGTTCTCAAACAGGGTAAAGCAAAAGCATGTGAATGCATAGGATGACTGGTCGTATAATTTGCAATGATGTGGCTGAGGTTCTGGGCTTTAGACTAGCAGTGGGTGAGAGACATTGACACTGCATCCTTTTTATCCATGACCTATGAGGAAAGGGCATTCTGTACTGACTTCTCTGAATATGGGAATATGGGTATTACATGGTTTATATTACAAGGCAGGCTGCCACTGTGTAGTTACACAATTTCTCACCCGGAGGATTTGCGTTCTGATGCTCTCTGTTTTTTGGTTAAGAGGAGGCTACAATTGTTATGCCTTTTGCTCCTGTTAAGCACACAGACGTCACATGCTCCCACCCCACCCCACCCCACACTGCACCTGCTAATATTACAGACAAAATACTGTTATGTAATTCTGTGTGGTTCGTCATGTCCGTCAAACTGCGCTCATCATGATCTCTGAGCAGAACAGTAGTACACACTGGGAGGGCGAACTGCTCCCTACCCTCTCTTTTTCTCTCTGTGCTACCTTTCTCTGCTTTTTCACTCTCTTTCTCCCTCTTTCTCCTTCTCTCTCTCCTTTTTACTGTCACTTTCTCCTTCTCTTTCTGTATTTTCTGTTACCTCTCTCTTTTTCTCTCTCTGTGCACCCTCTCTTTGCCTTTTCTGGTCTTTCTCTTCTCTCTTCCTCTTTCTGTCTTCTCTCTCAGTCTGCTTGTTCTTTCTCTTTTCTCTCTCTCTCTCTCTCTCTCTCTCTCTCTCTCTCTCTCTCTCTCTCTCTCTCTCTCTCTCTCTCTCTCTCCAACACTTTACTCCCCATAAGGCTAGAGTTTTATTGTCTACTGAATGCAGGAAGGGGGGCAGGCGGGGTGGGGTTGTGTGCACTGCTGTGTTTCTCTATGAGAACAGACTGTCTCATAAAGCCCATTTTCAAGAGCCTCTTCTGATTAGCCTGAAGTGCTTCCTTCTCCCCTGACCACTGCCTCGTATTAACAAGCCTGGAGTGAGTTGATTGGTCACAGTATTGCAGTGTGGCTAAAAATCTTGACGGCACATTATTGGCCGCTCTCCATCAAACCTCCATCCAACTGTCATGTGTGAGAACACACAAACACAGGCATGCTCAGTGTAAGCAGTGTCTCTCTCTCTCTCTCTCTTTATCTCTCTCTCTCTCTCTCTCTCTCTCCCTCACTCTCTCAGAGCACCACTCTGATCTTGTGGGTGCCGTTGATTCTCATGAGTGTGGTGGAGGTGCTGTTTTCAGGCCGCTGCCTTGCAGTCTGCATCAACTTCATCCGCCGCAAACCTGCACCACAGTATGAAGGCAGATCGGTGTGTATAGCTCTCTTCTTTAAACTGCCTCATTCACACAGCTCACACATGTTCCTGCATCATTTATGTCTGCATACTTTAGTGTAAAAATGCTACACGATCATCTGATACTTTGCTTTTTAAAAAATATCAACATGGCACAGATGTTTAGATAGGACAGATGTTCTAAGCTGCTATTTGATGTATTTATTGTACTCCTGAAGAGCAGCGTATTTAGACAACGCTGGGCTACAGTATGAAAACGTCTGCATATTATTAGTTTTTCAGCATTTCTCAATGGATACTACATAGAAATAAATACATTTCTGCATAATGCTAATGCACCGTTTCTGCATCAGCAGATATGTGCATAAAAAATATTGAATACTGCCATCGGCCCATAATTTCCATATCGATGCATCCCTAATTATTAGGCCGTATCTGAACACCAGTTTACAGGCTTTGAATATTTGTTAGAATTTCCGAATGAGTACTTGAATACTCGTTCTCAAAATCACCCCTAAAAGCAACAATATTTACGTTTATAATTATCCTTAATTGTAAGTATGTTTGTTACTGCATCCAGTGGGTGGCAACAGTGTATTAATAGAAAGGCTGAAGCCCAGCCTACTTGTGTGTGTAGAAGATTGTCGCCCTCTCATTCAAAACAGCTTTTGAGTCATATAGATGCTAAAGATGTAACAAATTAGAATTACAGTCTTGCCTACATGGTTTACCAACCTCTTATTGTAAATTTTGCAGTGACTTTTTTTGTCAGTGTAATTTAAAATGCCGTAGATGTGAATTCATGGCCATTTTTGCTGATTTAGCTTCAGTGTTTAGCATGGAAAGCGGTGCAGTTCGCTGAGGTGAGGTGATGTGTATGTCTAGCATAAATTTATGAACCAGCTAAAATCTATATAATTTACTTTATCTTTAAAATAAACTTAAAAATGTAACTGTGGCTAGAAAAAAGACAAAGGTTATGAATGCGAATTGATGACCAAATACCAACATGAACAAATAATCAGGTTTTCATTTTTTAGATTCAGGCTAGCCCTTGTAGTTATATCAATATTCAGTTAGGTTTATTTTCTGGCCAAAATAAAATTCTGAGGCTATTTTCGAAAGTAAAAATCTGTGTGTATAGTTTATCCATAAATTAAATAGTAGATTTATTTGTATTTCATGATGTTTGAAATCGTTTCTTCCAATTGAATCGTGAGGTCAGACATTTATCCCCCCCCCCCCACACTGTTTATATAAATGGGTGCATCGTGCATGTGATGACTCATGCAGTCCAATAAAGTGTGTGTGAGGGGAGAGAGAGAGAGAGAGAGAGAGAGAGATAGAAAAAGTGTGTGTTCGGGCACATGTGTGACTCACCCGTGGGTGCTCCTGTATCTGCGTGTGTGTGTATGTGGACATGATGGATGACTCATACTGCAGCAGGACTGTAAGGCACTGTGTGTGCTGTTTTCAGGTGAAGACCCTCCGGGCAGCTGAGCCCCTAGTCCTCCCTTACTATATCCCCCCACCCCGCCGTTACCGAGGCGACGGAGAGGAGAGGTTGCCGGAGCGACCCCCAGAACAGCACGAGCTGCTGCGCGCGTCACAGCGGCTGTACAGCTCCACACGCTCTGCCCAAAATCGTCCTTCCCCCACCCGCTTCGACAGGGCCCAGCTCAACAGGGCCAGCTTCTGGATCTAATTATGAGCCTCGCCGTTACTCTGGCCAAACCCGGGCTCTGCTGGAATGAAGATCAATTAAAGGAATTCCACTGATTTTTCAAAAGTTCTGCATAACTCTACCATTAACATGAGTTATTTAGAGTGGTTTGACGTAAAATGGTTCATAGTAGATTAACTTAAGAACTTGGATCCCTTATAATAATTGTGACAGGAACAAGGGGTCACAACAGTTACAGCTTAGTTTTTACAAAATTCTGCATTTCATGTCAAACCACTTGCTTTGATTACATCATAACAATTTGATTATGCAGTTTTTGAAAAATTATGAAAAATCAGTGTAATTCCCCAGTGCGCCTGTAACTGGTGGGTTCCACTCGTTTACAAACTGACAGATAATACGGTTCATGTTGGCTGGTTTACCTAAAGTATGCACTTGTAAAAAAGCTTTGCTGCTGTCATTACAAGACATTTAGGATGGTGAAAACTGAACTATGACATGCTGCCTAGTGAGTGTGTTACTGCTTGCTGTTCACGAGTGCGTGTGTGAGTGTGTGTGTGTGTGTGTGTGTGTGTGTGTGTGTGTGTGTGAATGTATAGCTGAACATACAGGAGTGGATTGCGTGAAACCCAAAGGTTATGTTTGGACTACCTCAGCTCTGAGGCCTGTCCTTTAATATTTGCAGCATCTGTGTGGGCAAATATGTCTTTGTAAACAGAACAGCGTATTTATTTTACTTTAAGAAATTCTGACCTTTAACTGAGATGCTTGAAGTGATGTTATTTAGACAAATTAATAAAATGGGGATTAATGCATTTGTGATTCATCTGCGTGATGAAAACATTTCACCTTGTGATGTCCAGGGGAGTCACTAGACCAAATTTAGGCATGTGCTTCACTATATAATACATAATAATGAAAAAAAAGTCAGTATGTAAGCTATGAAGTTTCCCGTTTCAACCCTGATTTCCCACAGTGCCCAATCATCTTTCCTTCGAACTTTCCATTTCAAAAAGTCAGGCAAAGCAGCTCAATACAGAGCTAGCATGAGCATCAGCATATCACTGCTGTCGAAACAAAATCTTGTATCTCCAAAATGGTAACTTTAGAGAAGAAGGAAAAAACACACTTATTTTTAATGTAAGTCAGTGTAACTAGACTTTTCCCCAAGTAATTTTGGGCCATTTCTTTTGGTCCATTTATCGTGAAATTTACAATGTAAACGGCAACAGGCGTTTTCAAAATCTGTCAAGCACTGAAAAACAACAAAAATAGAGATACAAGGCTTTGTTCTAATAGCAGTGATATGCAAGTGTTTAAAGTATTTTTAGACTGCAAGTGGTTAGCCTTAACTTAAGCATTAGCATAGTTCAATTGCTTTTAACTGTAGATAGACAAGCATTAGTATATTGATGTTAAAGAAATAGTAGTAAATTTACATGATTTTCCACTCACCACAAATGCAAGACAAGATGTGTTTAGTGTTTGGTGTCTTAGGTTTTGCCTCTTTAGTTTAGAACTGGAGCTGCCAGGCTAACAGTGCTAACAAACACTGGAAGTAAATAGTCACCAAAACCTTTTCCTTAAATGCATGCCAAATTCTTCATATACTTGCTTAATTATGTTGACAAACTACATACACTCATTAAAAAGATAAAAAAAAAGATATAGTAGAATGGCATGGATAGGCCTTATTTTACACATTTAAGCTTAAATTGAAGCTAGATAACTGTTCCACCTTCAAACTCAGTCTTGGATGATTGACTGCATTTGGGGTCAGTGTAAAATCATGTAAATAAAATTTTTGGGAAAACAATTAGTTTAACAACATAGATATATTAACATTTGTTTATCTATGTTTACTAGCTAGGCCACCACTGAACAATGTTAATTGTTATGTTAAGGCTAACCACTTGCAGCCTTTAGAAAAAAGTTAGCAGCTAATGTAGTCTAATTGAATTTAAAACACCAAAAATTTATTTAACTGAACTAGACAGTGGCCCTTATATTTAACAACTCTTTTCTCACAAGCTGGTGTTATCTAACAAGCATGAACTGATGATGCAAAAACAAAAATAATTGGTGTATAGTTTTTTCTGTCTAAAATGAATTGTTTCACACGTGTGTGAGATTTTTAAAATGAAAGCATTAGTAGAACTGTGAGAACACCTGAGAGATGAGGACACATGTTCCAAGCAAATAAGACTCAGTAGTGTCAGTATCCATGTGAGTACTTTGGTTCAAAAGAGCGCTTTTAATTGTGCCTGGACAGCTTTTCCTGGGTAGAGATGCAGCTTTCTGTGTTTAATGCAGACTGCTCAGTCTCCTACAAGCGAAGAGGCTGGCCTGTGCCCCCCTTTATTTTATAGTGTACAACCAGCAGTCTAGAAACACCCCTGGTGATGTCACCACATAAACAGGCCCAACAGGTGGGTAATAAAACTCACTTGCTGAAAATCAAGCTTACTGTGCAAGTATTAAGCCACGTAAAACGCTCACACACAGTGTTTCAAACACATAAGTATATTTGTCATCAATATCAGCAAAGGGGGACAATCATGACGTCCTCGCATGAGGTTTTCATGCAACATAAAAGAAGGGTGGGGAGGGGGGGTGAATTGGGTTGCCATAAGGGTGCAGAGTCATATATATATTTATATATATTCTCAGTACAAATGTGGAAGCAATGAGATGCTAACTGCTGTAGAGCTAGACAAAAAGGTGAGTGTCGATATCAGAGCCGCAGGGACTGAAGCTCCATCACTGTGTGCACAAAGGGCAGGAGAAGAGTGGCTAGAGGACTGAAAAGACAGAGGAGGGGGATATGCTCTCAGTTGTTCTTGTGCAAAACAGAAAGATGAAAGCAGTGATATTTTCCATTCCATCCTTCAGTCAAGAGTGGAAACAAGCCCTTAGTGCTATCGCTCACGGTGATATCTCTCCTCTTGGATTAAAGATGCAATTTGTCTGAAGGTGACTGGACTGTACATTCCCTTCTGTGTTGTAAGATAGAGATTATGAAATTACAAACTGATTTTTTCATGAGTACCTTTTGCACAAATTGGAGTATTACATGGTGCAGGGTAATTTGCCACTTAGAACAGGGGTTCAAAAAACACAGCATTACCTTAAAAACGTACCGTATTTAACGACACAAAGTGATACTAGAAAGTTAACGCTCATACGCGCGCACACATACATGCACTGAAAACATGCGTACGTCACGCTCATGTTCACATTCACATTCGCACGCACACAAAGCGACTCAGATCATATGTGCTACAAGCGTCTGATTCCAAAACACAACGGAATGTATCCCCTGATGCAAATGTGTCACACGATACTTCGTAAAGCCGACAGCTTATAACAGTTCACCGCAGACGCCCGGAATAGAGCTTCAAGTCTCTCTCATACCTCGGTTCAGCAGTAATAAAATAATCTTCCTTCACAGCAAAATCACCAGCAGTCAATTCCTGCAGGCCTGAAGAGAATCAAACACTGATGATTTCACAGAGTTGATAAAATGACACCATGAACAAAAAATGCCAAAATAAATAAACATGGAAGAAATGATACATATATACAAAAAATATGAAATAAACAAAAAAAGAACAATGGGATCTTCAGCCTTCTCTTATTAAATGAAAGATCATAAGCACCATAGCCAAAATAATATTAATAATAATCCCAACATTCAGTCCATCTGCCCATTGCGTCTACTGGAGGCTACGGATTTGGATACTTTACTCAAGCTACATAATACTGTCTTTGAATGCAAGTGAGTAAAAGACATCTACAGGTGCCTTTTGTTCCTAATATGTCCTATATGTGTTTATACTGTATATATACATCAATATGGATATAAAAAGGAGGAGAACTGTGTCATCAGAGAACAAAAAAAAAAGAAAATGATTAAACACAGGGTGGAGTGAGAGTGGGGTGTGGGTGGGGAGGAGTAAGTGTGCATGCACAATTCCCAGGGAACGGGGGGGGGGACGGGGACGGTCCCTTCCAAAACCAGAAGCCTGGTGCATGGTCAGTAGCGGAACGGTGAGCCGAACGCTCCACGAGCCTTGGACAGACAAAGCGCAGCAGACACGAGACGTCTTTGCAGGTGTTGTCTTTGTTCTTCGGATATATGTGTGTCCTTTCTCAAAGGAAAAAAAACTGAAAGTAAAACTGATGCACTTTTTTTTTTCTTTTAAATCTCTTCTGTCCGGAACACTAATAACAATGAGAGACGACGACCTTCATGCATTGAGCGTCTGCTCTTCGGGCGGACTCAGAACTGCGAGGCACTGCTGGGGTCACACTGCAGTAGCCGCACGATGGAGGGGTCACTTTTGGCACCTTTTATGAACTCCTCCAAAGACAGCTTACCTGTGTGGGAGAGACGGAGAGAGTGAGATTGAAGAGAGAAGCCATGAGTAACATAAAATGTGTACAATTTTCCCCCTCACGTCAAATAGAGTTGGTCTTTGAATCTTGAAGTTTGAAGCTTTAGTTTTGCACCAGAACCACAAGGCTAATACAGCCAACAAGTAATGCCATCTTATACCACACAAGGTTAACACTGTGCTAACAGCATGTCTGAATCATCACATTTTTGTCTCATGTCGGCTTGTTAAGTAATCTCAAACAGATTTGCTTATACTGTACTTCGGGGCACTGTTTTCTTTTTCCATTTTTATAAATAACAGTATGTGAAAGAAATGGTCTGGCAAAAAATCTAATTCACACAATTTTTCACATACCCTCCAGGGGTAGCCAATAAGCCAGGACATGTTTAATGTCCAAATTTTTCATCTTCAGTTTCGTGCTGGAGCTGCAAGGTTAATGTTGATTACAGTCACCCAAATAATTCCTGTAAATACAGCCCCAAAGCTTCAGTCAACCTGCTCAAACTGCGTCCAGTTCAATAATGTTGCACAGACATGATAATGTGGCTTAGGACGCAGTATGACTTACTGTAAATTATAACAATGAACAAAACGTTACTGTGTAACTGAGCCCTGTTCTAAACAAGACATGCTAAATTGTTCCTATTCATAATTACATGTAAATCTTGAATTTTCAAACTGAAGATGTTGGTTAATAAATAGAAGCAACAGAAATTGCAAATGAAATCTAGCATCCATATGTCAGCTTTATGCAGACATATGGACGAAGGGAATTCTGCGGGGAATTCTGCAGGGGATTCGGAATTTGCACAACACCTGGTGAAGATTTGTACAATTTTATAGCTCACAGTAAGATACACTGTGGCCAAAACTACATCAACACCCTGCATATCCTTTTGGGGATGTAATCATGTAAAAGATTTAGGTGACTACTAACATCTAGTGATTGTTAGTGCTCAACTGAAGCAAAATTTGGACACTGAACATGTTTTGGCTGCATGACTATGTCTGTGGTAAGTGGTTTTCTTTAAGCAAGCAGCACAATGTTAACTGGTACACATAGGCTTTCATTACTTGTTAGATACAGTCGCCTTTCAGCTCTGGTACCAAACTAAAAAAGCAAACCTCAGACACTGAATATGTCTTTACTGATCAACTTCTTTTGAGACAAAGAGAAAACCTGTGTTTGTTTTTTAGCCATATTCTTTTAAAGAAGCCAAGCACTGCTTGAGGTTTTACCATCATTGTTCAAGTCCATTTGTCTGAAGATCTTATCTGTCCTCTTCTCTGGTGTGGACTCATCCTCGGGCATTTTCATCACCGATGACACCATCTTATAGATGGCCTGTGACATAGGAGCGAGAGAGTATGATGGATTAAGTTGAGAAGAGCAGTAACGTCATTGGTATTCTATT